ATTAGTAATATTCACATTATACTCCTGACTGTACCATTCCAGTATATGAGTATGACCAGTCATTGCTGCTGCATGTAATGCTGTTAAACCATATTTATCAGTAGCTAAAGGCTCAAGCTTATACTCTTGTATTAGTAATTGTACTAGATCAAGATTACCTGAGAAACAGGCAAATGTGACACACGTATTGTCACGTGTATCCTTAGCATTGACATCACATTTCATATCATTTATGAGAAATGTGACCAATTGAATATTACCATTCCCACAGGCAAAATGCAATGGTACCCAATTCTCATTGTTTGTAGAGTGCAGAAAACTGATATACTGAGGATACTGACTGGTGATATGCTTGATAAAGTGAGTGTGACCTTTTAATGATGAATAATGAATAACACTGTTACCATCATTATCTGTTAAGCTCAGACTACACTTGTAATCCTTCACACATAATTCCAGTAGTAAAATATCACCAGATTCAGCAGCATAATGAATTGGTAGCTTACCATTACTGTCAGCTTGATGAGGATCTAACTGATAGGTAGTTATTAATTCTTTAACAAGAAATAAGTTAATAGACCATGGGGCATAATGTAAAGCAGTGAGGCCATTCTTAGTAACTGCAGTAGGAGACAAACCTTGTTCAGTAATAAGATACTGAACTAAATCAAAGTTACCACTCCATGTAGCATGATGTACTAATGTGCGTCCTTCATTATCTGTTTTATTAATATCACAATGCTGTACCTCAATGAGATATTGAGTGATATCAATATGACCATGACGACAAGAATGATGAAGACATGTCATATCATTATTATCAGTGATATTAGGATCACTGTTACAATTATTAATAAGATACTTAACAGAATTAATGCTACCTGACCAGCAGGAGTAGACTAATGGTGTACGGCCATAAGTATCAGTATCATTACAATTGAGATTATACTGAGATATGATATAACTTAATACACTAGTAGAACCTGACCAGGCAGCATGATGTACTGGAAACATACCATCATTAGTTAAAGTACAATTGATACTCCTTTCTTCTAATGCTTTCACTAGTAATGTACTGCCAGTCCATGACGCAATATGAAGTAATGACTTACCATCATTTGTAGTGGCATTTATGTCAAAGTTAGGGAAAGTGCTTGCTTTCTTGAAAAGTGCAGAAAACATTTTAACTCTTTCATTTCGTTTCATAAAATCAATATTTCTTTTTATTATAGTAGTATTGTTATCAATAACTGATGCATCACTTTGTGCCATAACCTTACTATACACAATACCAGCTGGAATATGTATACCTGCATAACATGCACGATGTAAACATGACCAACCATCATTATCATTAACAAATAATGCTTCATTACCTTGAATACTAACAATATACTCAACAACTGATGATGAAGCATACCATGAAGCAATATGAAGTGGAGTCACACCTTTGCTATTCTTTACATCAATGGATAATTGATATCGATTTAAAAGATACTTTAAAAGCTCAACACTTTTATTATTCACTGAACGACAAGTATAATGTAGTATACCAGCCCCTGACTTCGTTATGTCATCTGGTGAGAAGAGGTTTAATGATTCAAGCTTGTGGACTAATGCTAACTCTCCACTTTGACAAGCTAACAATGATAAAGAAGCACCTTCGGAATTAATCTGAGAAGTATTACAACTTTTCTCAATAAAAAATTCCACTAGGTCAGAATGGCCCCCCATTGCTGAGTACAGTTATGCAGTGTTATTGCTATTGTCT